AAAAAGAGCGCCCGGCCGACGTTTGGAATTCGCGCGCGCGCGATTTCGAAACGTCGGCTGGGCGCGCGCTCTCTTCGTTCGCTCTCTTCTGAAGTGGTTAGGAGTAGGGTGAGGTGGCGGTAGCGTATATCTTATAGTGTAGATGTAAAAAGGGCGCGCCCGGTCAAATGATTTTTGAATATCTGAATTACTTTTAAATTTTAAAGTAAGAAAATATTAAACGTCGTAATTTTAAAAAGTGTGTATCGGTGTACGTTTCAAATGTAGCTGAACGTATTCGGGGGATAATGTCACGGCTAACCCAGCAGATATTAAACGAATTCGGCTATCCTCTTTAGTTGATGATAATCATTGACTTTGGCCGTCAAGTCATAATTATGTTGTCAGATAAATAAATTTCCTTGTTTGAAAAAACTTTAAAGACTTTTGGGTAAAGTAATTGAGTTTTTAAAAAGTAAACATTGTTTATTACTTTATAGATGATGTAATATTAATATTCAGTCAATTGTGTATTACAACAATTTAAATAAAATTGGTAATTATTGGGAAGACGCCCTTTAAAATCTTACTATATAAAATGAGTACTTTTTAGTGTAACAATTTTTTTTTTCGAAATTCTGAGTTCTTAAAATTAATCGAACCCAAAATATCACATTTTTTGCGATTTCCACCGGTGGTGTAATTATAGTTTTTTACATTTATTTTTCATTGATTAGGATTGGAGAAGTTGGCAACACCGCGAATTTGTAATGGCGTGACAGTTTCCAGTATGACAGGACAGATATAATTCTAAAAAGAAGCTTATATAAATGATCCTCAAAATTCCTAAATAATACATAAAAAAGAAAAAAAGTAAAATGTATGGGGTTTCCGCAGATAAATTTGAAGATTACTATCCTTCCTAAAGTCTAAAACGTAAGTTTTGAAAAAAAAAATTGGATTATTAAGAAAAGGGCGTCTTCCCAATAATTACCGTAAATCCGTAAATGTACATAAGTTACGGATTTACCACTGTCCATCTCTAAATTCCAGTGCAACACCGGAATCACCTGAAACTCTCGAGAAGTTATAAACCGAATTTCTATTTTCGTTAGACGACTTGGCCAAGTCCGACTCACCTGAGATCGTTTATAAATATGGACCTTAGAGATTTATAATAGTAGGCATATTCTGCTTTGGTCACTCGATTATTTTAAACAAGAATTGGATATGACAAGGCTGCAACTTTGTTGTTACATATATGAAAATACAATAACCGATATTCCTAATTTTCTAATATTCTACATTCACTGAGTATGTACAGTTTTGAATAAACACAATATTTTTCAATTTAAACATATGTTTACAAAATGCTCGGACTGGTCAATTATATATTATTTTCAATTTAGTATTGTACCATGTTTAGTAGTCTCACCAAAAATAATATTATAGAATCATTATTTCTCATTTACATTTGACTTAATTTACAAAAATTCAATAAACAAATTTATATTTGATTTTTTTTTTATTTTAATTATACTTATTCACAAAGCATCTTTAAATTTACCCATATGTGCAACCTTAAAGAATATAGAAATGTGGTAATGAATGTCTAATATTTCCCAAACTGTTATAGTAGGGGAGCTCAAGATGCTGAATGGGGATTTACCTAAGCATCATAGAGACCTATTGTGTTGCAAAGCTTAGATGATAAGAAGAAAAAATGTCATATAATATATACCTTTTCATCGGTGCGGGAAGCGGCTATAGATTTTTAAATATGTAAAAAAATACTGTTGCATGCACATACTCGAGCGCGTCAGATATTGATAGCATCAATGTCCTACGTATTTTTAATAATGTACGTATTTTAATCTGATCATTTGCATGATGCGGGTGGCTGTTCGTAAGGGTTGAAAATTAAAAAAAAAATTATAATCGAGCGCGTCAGATTTTCTAAGGGGGTGTTAAGTGAACCAAAAAAAAGCTCTCATTCAATAATCTGATGATTTCGATGTGACGCAAACTCGCGGCCTTACTATAATGTGCAAAAAAATTCGCCATTTTGAAATGCTCAAGCGCATCAGATTAAGATATATATGGTTCATCTTTATGTCCTATAATCTGAATATTATCTAGAGCAGCCATACTCAACCAGAGGCCCTCCAAGCTTTTTTGTGCGGCCCGCAACACGGTTATTAAAGTGTTTTTTAAAACTATAGGCGTCTGTTTTTAAAATTTTGAAAGAAAACATTTATCTGTCGCTGCGCTAAATATCACGCTACTTTTTTAAATAAACGTTTGCCGAGGGGTTACTGCAAAAACAAGATAACTCTATTTTTGGCATTTTCGAGTTAAGTACACTTTCGTCTCCAAAATAGTTCAAATAATCCACGGCATAAATAAGACAAGTGTGAAGGAAGTCTATATTCATGATAAACAGATGGTCAATTAAAACTAACTCCATATTAATACATTCACAATATGTGCACAAACAAGATGAGTGGCATTTATACCGAAACATAATCATAACATTGCTAACATTGTATCTACTAAAACCAGATAAGAGACATAACATATTTTTGCTAAATGTATTTAGTCCGATTCCTAATAGTGTTTGTGCCAAACAAGATAAAGACCCGAATACTTATTTTTGTTGAATTTATGCGTATTTATTGAAATGGTTAAACAATTGTGTAATGTTCTGCCTAGAGCCGTCTCTGGCTTTTCTCGACAATGTGATTACGTCACCCTTTCTTTCTGCGATTCAGCTTACCTTCGAAAACCGATAGATAATAACACGTGATGCTTGAATAGCTGTGGTGAACGAGTAATTGGACAAGCTGTAACGAGTGATTGGTCAAGCTGTGTAGCGGTAGCACCTCGTGCCCTACATACTATCTTTTAAATCACCTTGACGTCCGATAATTTTTTTTTTTTACGAGCTTGGTATGACCCGAGAATAACAAAACGCCGAGAAGCGACAGCTTTGTCGGAACGTTTGATGTTTGTGGGATCGATTTGCGGTGACCTTGAAGACACCATAATTACACTGCACGCAAGCTGAATTGGCTCGCAGTCACGCGATCGCGCGGAAATTTGTAATTTACACTGCTCAACTCTAAATATGTTTTTAGTAAGGGAGTACATTTTTTATTTTGCATTTAAAATTATATGCCTTTGACTGCAAAAAGACTCATTCCGCTGCCATTTTTGGAATCACATTCATGAACTACACCCTAAGATCCAACCATTTTGTTACGAAATTATCCAGAAAACACAATAAAAATCACACAGTAATAACTGAAAGAAATAATTCAAAATAGTCGAAACTACAGTTTTTGCGCTCGGATTAAAAGCACAGGACACCTTCGATACGGTGTCGCGTTGATCTAGTTGGCCACATGCAAATAGACACCATATTTTCGATCATGCACCTTCGAAAACCCACCCGGCGGGAAAGGGTCTTTGTCGTTTCTCGGCGTTTGGTTATTCTCGGGTATGACTTTGACATCAGATAGTCCATGTTTTGACGAGCTTTCATTTCGTCAATAACATTTTATTTTGTTGTGAAGATGGCACTTCATAATTTTTCAGAGCGACACATTTCTCACAGTATGTTTCTTGCCAATGTCATGGAACCTAAAAGTTCGATGGTATTGGGAAGGCGGCTTTCGTTTTTGATTTCCTTAAGAGGGGGCGAGAAAACTAGGGAAACGAAAGTGGACCAGAAGAAGAAAAACAAAAAGCGGCCCAACAAAAATACTAAGAAAAACATGATTAAAAAAAATGAAGCATTATTTTTTGATTTTTATTTAATAACCTTGTTGAATTCATTTTTAAATAAACCTAAGGAAAAACTAAAACAAATTGTCTATTATAGGCCTCTGTAAGCTGTACCGAGCTCCTTGTGGTAGGGTGCAAAGGGATGAACGGGTAAAAAAAGCTCTGAACACTTACAAAAAAGTGCAAGAAGAAATATTAACTTAAACTTTGCAAATCAGGTGCTACACCTGATGAATATCACCAATATTATCACAATCTACCTGTATCCAATAATTTTACGTACCGTACCTGAATCTTCCATTAAAGATAGTGACGCATACATTGAATATTATGACCTGTATGTATGATTTTTTGTTCAATTATAAACTTTTGAAGTGGTTTCTCGAATCTCTAAAATGTGAGTTATCTTGTTCTTGCAGTAACCCGACGGGATATATTGTTTATTGTTTTTTTATTAGATGTCACCACTACTAATTTTAAGTGAATGGCCTAAAAAAGTCATCCAAAAATATTGCGGCCCGTGTACATATCAAACGTACGAATGTGGCCTGAAGGAAAAAAGTTTGAGTATGACTGATCTAGAGGGATTCCCCTAATCTGACAAAAAAAAATAAATATTTTTTAAAATCATTGAACTTAATTGAAAATCTCAGGAAATAGCATGTAAATAAAAAAGTGTGTTTTTTAAGTAGAATACTACTTGTATTTATAAGAAAATAATTAAAAAAAAAATGCTCAAAAAAATTAATTGATGAATTAATCATCATCTTCATTAGTAGAATCATCTTCCTCATCTGGCTCGATTTCATCCTCAGATTGCGTATCTGTAACAAAAAATCATTAAAATATTTAACAATATTTTTTTTATGAATAACGTGTTTTTTTAATTATTGGAGAAAAGAAATACTTGATTCTGGAGTATCCTCAAGAATATCAGGTGTTATGACATCTTCGTACGCTTTCGGCAATTGATCACCTGCAAACCAGATCATTTTGAATTTTCAGTCGACATCAATCCATAGTCATTTGGTAAAAGATCAATAATTATTGCATTATGGGCAATACTCCACAAGCATGCAATGAATCTTGTGTGTAACACTTGCGGGAGTAACTCGGATTCACACTCAAGGAGAAGGGCTGTGATTTGTCTTTTACCTTGTATCTTCTTATTGAAGATGACAATCCTGGCTTGATTGACATCGTCTAACTTTTTCAACCCTTACAAGTGTATGATGTTAAAAGAATCCTGCACATTTGATCCCAAATCCAGAAATGCTTCTTGGATAATTTCTGAATTCATCAGAAATTGCAAAGGTTTCTTTTTCTCTCGTCGGTACAATGCTGGGTTGAAATCGCAACCAGTGAACGCATGCAAAGCTGGAAGCGCCTTCGAAATTTTTGGGCCTTATTTTTACTAGAGAGCGTGCATTACCAACTCCAAGATCCATCCAAACTTCTACTCTTGCTTGCAGGTGTTCCATATACGCTAACATGATGACCACTATGTCAGTATCAGAAGTTCTGATAGTAATAGTAGAATCTTTATTTTGTTGGCAAGCAAGAAATGCTATCTTCGTATCCGCTTCTTCGTGATCAGGGCATGACAACTCATTATTAATGATGCGTATTACTTTATTATCAGTAACAGAATATTCATAACACAAATCATGTATTATGTAAATTACCTTACTACCGATATTCGCTGCCATCTCCTGATCAGCCCAATGATCGATCAAAAACTTGACAATAGCTTCCTTAAACTTTATATTTTTCAAATCTTTCGTAAAATCTGCTGATCTTGTTTGTTGAGGACCGGAAATGTGGAATTCCTTGTCGTCTACACTATCGAAGAGAACGCTCATAATCTTTTATAGGGGGTGTGAAGTAGCGATCAAATACAATGGCAACTCTACTTGCAGCGTTATTGACAAGGCATTGTAATATCTTTTTTTGACACGCTTCCAAAACTACGGGGTATTTCTTTAAAAGTATTTAAAAAAAAGAAGCCATCTACAATTACAAGGTCAATTTGGGGTGGCGGTTGCTCCATATCTTCGACTTGTTTCTCTAACTCATTAATTAGTACTGACTTATCAGTCTTGTTTAAAGAACCATCTATAATGCACAGTGATAACGGCATGTCAAGAGATAGAGCTAATAACCGACCGAATAAATCCCGCTGCAATGTAACTTCGTGTACTTTTCCACCAATTTTCAGTTTTTTTTTTTTTTTTTCTTGAGGTTTGCTAAAGTCAGCACCGTATTTTTTTTAATGGCTGGTGAAACCTGTCTGAATTTAAATTGCATTCCATTACGATTTTTTGTTATTTCGGCTTGCGGAAATCGTCACATTATATATTTTTCGTTATCCTTGAATTATTTCCTTCAAAATAAAAAAAAATAGCCACGCTCGAGAATGTCGAGATGACGTTTTTTTTACAACTTTGCTGCCCTTCCCTTTCTTTACGTCACTCTCAAATTGTCAGATTAGTGGAATATACACTTTTTAGCATGTAATTAACTCCCTACCTTAATCTGACGCGCTCGAGAATTTCTGATGATCAATTTTTTTTTACTAATCTGATCCTTTATCCTTCACGGGCGGCCTTATATATGGGGCTCATATTTGGTGGAGGTACTTAACTGTATATTAATCAATTATTTTAATCTTGATGATCTGACATTCTTTATATGTTTTTCTATCGATTTCTTAAAAGTTTTCCAAAATATATTAATGACTATTTAAGGTGTTAATGACTTATAAATATATGATATATAAATATAACCTCATTTATTATATATACCTTGACTTGTTTTTTATGTATTATTCATATAAAAATAAAGATATTATTATTATTTAAATTTTTTTAATCACAGTAACGATTCAATGTGTGATTGAAAGATCACACCATCATCCAACTCTACTTTTCCTCCAAATTGACTTAAAAATGCTTAAATCAAATACAAATAGTTATATAAAAGGGAAAGAACAGAAAACAAAACAGTCAGTTTCCACATTGACTTGCACAAATCAAAATTATTTCCAAGAACCTTTTTACATTCTTTTGAAAAAATTTCATTGTTTCGAATTTCTGATTTGCAAGGAAAGTGAAATGTATATTTTTGATGCCACAGTTGTGGCTAGCATCCTTCTTAACAAATAGTTTCACAATAAATTTTTTGACGTGTTTTATTTGCATGTGATGCAGTTTCTTTTAGGTTAAAATATATTGTTTCGATGGTTAATAGAAAATAAAAATTGACCTGTCCGAGGATTTTGTCAAAATATTTTTATAAGTTTCAGGGAAAAAAATCAAGAACTTGTGAGTGGTAGTAATAAATATGAAAATATTCTGCATTCCTTACGTTTGACTCCTTCTAATAGCTTACCCTGAAGAGCTCTGCCAACTTGGACTCCACAAGAATGTTAATTAATTACCTGAATAATAACATACTTAAATTTGACTAAAATCTGATCAATGTAAAAGGGTGGGGCCCTTTTTCCATTAGGCACATCCCTGCATTATAGTCGAGATTATAGTGAAATAAATGCAACATCACTAGTTTCTTCATATTAGAGCAATCTAAATGTTTCAATACGATATTTTGATAAATCAAGACAATTACTACAGTTTGTTAAAACATTTGGGCATTTGATAATTTGGTACATTCTAATAATTAACATTAAACTGCAGGGTATCAACAACAACAGCAGCAGCAACAACAGCAGCAGCAGCAACAACAACAACCACAGCAGCAGCAGCCCCAGCAACAACAGCCACAGCAGCCGCAACAACAACAGCAACAACCATCTCAAAACCCTCCTCAAGCGAATTATCCTCCTCCTGCAAGTGGCCAAAGCCCACAGGGCCAGTATGGCACCGGTCAATATCAGTATACGTACGCCCAAGGATATGGTGCTACACCACAACCACAAAATGCTAGCCAGAATTATCAAAATCAGCCAGCGACTGCCCATAGTCCTACACCAACATCGGCAGCTCCCGTTCCAACATCGCAAGCTTATCCCCAAGGTGAGTCTGAATGTAACCTTTATTATATTTCCCACAATTTATTATTATGATATCCTGATTAGTAAGTGTCCCCAAAAACAAAAATGGATGTTATTCATTTGAATTGTTGGAAATATTCTGAACACTCTCCACCTACTTATATGTATTGCCCACCATCTTTTAACCTCAATCAGAAACTCATATATGAACAAACATTTCTATGTTGAAAATGGGCGCACTTCGGTGGTAATGTAGGGTGTCATTTTTTTTGCACATTTTGAGTAGATTATGAATATGATGATCCGGAAATCAAAATTGGTAGCTTTATTATGGTTTGGGTCAAAAAAAAAAACTAAAAATTCATTTTTTAGTTTTTAATTTTTTTTTTCCAGAAATTATACATTTTATCCAAAAAAGTTTTAAATAAAAGTTGTTCAGCTTAAGATTATCGACAAAAAAGTTCTAGTTGTAATTTAAACTAAAATTTAGTATAACGGTCCTAAAGAGGGTCAAACCTTGTGCAATTTTCGATATATATAAAAAACGCTTTGAAGGGTAAGGGAAAAAAACTAACGATGTCCATTTTATAGGAACTTTTAAGTAATCAACTTATGTTGGTGATATCGAGTCCCAAACACATGCTAAATTGTAAGCGAATAAAACAAACGAGGTCTGAATAATAAGACATTTAAAAATAAACATAACATTGTCCAGGCTAAATACAACGATTTGCTAGTGCTAAAACGTTTTTGTCACCCAAATAATAACGAATTTTATGAAACATTGTTATACCAGTGGAAGTCTCTTTATTTTAAGTTCGTTTTAAAATGGAAATAATTTCTTTTTAACAGGTTATTTGATACGTTTATTTGTTTTAACCGGAATATAATAATCTTCCGTTTAAATTATTTTGCAAAAAGTTAAACTATGCAGTAACAAATTTCGTTAAAAATATTAACATGCAGTTTTATTTATTTCTATGACCAACAGAAGATTTGGTAATAATATTAATTATAAACTCAATTTTCTCAGTAAGTCAGTTTTGTGACATAGTTTGTTTTTTCCACTTACCCTTTAAATCAGCCTCTATTTGGAAACATAAGAAGGAAATCATTGGCCGAATCAAAATGACATGTATTATTGAGAATGGATGAAAAAAATGTTTTCATGATTCAAGAATATTTTTTCAGTATAATTACAAATAATTAGATTGATATTTATTTGTTGAAACTGAGATGTGATAGTACAATTAATGTTGTTTCCACAGGTCAGTACCCACCTAATTCTACAGGCTCAAATACTGGCTTCAGCTCTGCTCAAGCCTATCAAGCTGGAAACCAAGGTGGAACTCCCGGTAGCTACGGATACCAGCCACAGACTGCTGCTTATCCACCTCAGCAATACGCTCAACCACAACAACAGTATTATCGGTGAGTTAGTGTAGGTGGACATGCATGACTTGAAATCGATTTTTTAATGATTTAACCTCTTAATTATTCTCCACTAATGTTTTAATTTTTTGAAACCTGATTAAATGTTTTTAATTTGAAATGTTTGTATTTTTTTTTTTTTGTAGTGCATGAACAAATTTAGTTTAATTGCAGATCCTGTTGTACCCATAGGTGTCTTAAGATATATCGCACCATCAATGCAATACTAACACAACTAGGAAAGTGACGTTTCAGAAAATCGCCATTAAATATTAATTGAACCATAAAGGATCAAATGAACATAATTTTCTATAGCTAACATTATAAATAAAATAGACTATGTGGTTGTGTTTGAATTTTGTCTATTTTTATATCTATTTCGTGTCCTGTCTTAACTCAAAATTGCGATTATTCGAGTTGCGTTGGTTATTTATTGATGGTGCGATATACTTTGTGTAAAAAATATTAAATGTTTACATTTTATAAACGCTACTGTTAAAGCATTTAACATATTAAAACATAGAACATCAATATTTAATTTTAACAATTATCTGGGCACAAAAATCTTAAAAACCAATCCCTAAGTACGTTTGAATTCTCGAAGCCATTATATGCAATCCTCGTAACAGCATTTGGTGCCACAAGTCATGTCAACACTTATTTTTAGAACAATTGGGTAAGACATGTTAATGCAAGCGACGTTATCTGAACCCGCTTATTTCAGCTAAAGAGCATTAGAGCTTCAGTACCTCTCACATAAACCACATTGCTCCGTCGTCATCGGCCTTTCGTCCAGTCACTGAAATGTTGGCACAAATGTGATAAATTTTCTACAGTAGTACAGGATCAGTATGTAAATATTGTATATTTCATTTTGTGATATAACAGTTCAAGAATTTCTATTAAAAAGTGTCGTGGCCGGCTTTTCATTTATACAACAACGAGGAAGAAACTCGGCATCTTTTCTGGTAAGCAGTCCATTACAGTCTTGGAAATAAGTATGATGGTGGGTGAGGTTTTATGATGGTGGGTGAGGTTTTTATGATGGTGGGTGAGGTTTTCCGGGTTTTCCTCACCTGTAAGTCAAATGGCACCATCAATCATCTTTAAGTCGCCCCGGAGCGCCACGGCAAATAATAATAATAGCCGTCCCTTCCCCTACACAAGTCGTTCAGTCGACTTCAGGGGTTGAAATTCACTCGTAAGGGGGTGAATTAGGGAGAGTATTATTATTATTATTATTAAGTAAAATGTAAAGGTATGGAGATGCACCAAGTCCTGTACTCGTAAAAACTACTATGTGATATGCATCTTATTATTTAACTCTGCAGCCAGAAAAGCTACCTAAAATGTAACTATAGTGATCTTTAATTGAATCAGTAAGTTCGAAAACCGTACTAGTCAAAAAATTTACATTTT